ATTTCCACGTTCAGTAAAATGAGAGTTCTGAGAGTGTTACTATAGAATAAGTTCTTCAGAAGAATGGAAATTACTGCTCAACCTTTTTTTTTTTTTGCTTTTAAAAATGTACTTGCTGCCAGAATCTCTGGACAAACGTATATCATTAAAATGCATAAATAAAAACCAGGAAGGAAAGTAAAATAATAAGACCAAGAAGAACAAACTAAACAAATAAAAACCTCATATTGAGCTTCAAATGTGAATAAATTTCAGCTCAAATAAATCTGAAGAAAAAATAAGCAAAACAAAATATCCCTTCAACTAAATTTTCCTGTCTCTGAATAATCCATATTTCATATACATTCCTAGAGAATAGGGTGCTAGTACCCACATTAAGACAGAAGCTACCAGGGCTTTGTGAGATAAAAATATATAACGTGGCTTAACTGATTCAATAACATTTTTGCACAAAACACTCATTCCCCTTTAACTGAGGGTCAACTTCTGACTGAACACTATTCCTGCCTTTTCCAAAAATGTAGCTAGATTCTTTCCCCACCAGTATCACCATTGCCTTGTTAAGGGAATATCAATAATTCTGAGCCAGCATCCACTCGAAACAAATAAAAGCTTAGTTAGAATTTCAAGCAAATGTCAAGTTCCTATCCCATTACTATTTATAAGTCTGATGTAAGTCAAGAGTATTAGGCTACAGTCTTGGTTTCATTCTTCTTGGTGGAAACTTGGCAAATGGCTTACCCTCTCTAGGCCCCAGGTTCCTTGGAGGCAAGACTATATTTAGGTGGGTAATTTTCTTTGTTAAGCATTAAAAGAAGTCCCATTCCACTCGTCTCTGAAAGACATCATCACATCCTCCTATGATCACTAGGACAGGGCAGGCGCGAGAGACGGATGAATAGATGTTGCTGTTTGTGAAACCTTAGCACATTGGGGGGCTGGAAAGCACAGGATAGTTTAAAGGGTCCTGAGGGCAAAGAGCAGAGCTTGAGGAGTGCTCGGCTTAGGACTCAGTGCTGAGTCTCCCACCAAATAGCTCTGCGACTCTGCACTGTGGTTCGCTTTGGTCTCTAGCTTAACATCTGTAAAGCGTGAGGAACAGGGCCAGGTGTTGCCCTAGGATTACTAAGACTAGTATCAGAGTGTTTCACTGTTGTCTATTTTCCTAGAATCCTAACACATTAGCCACTTAGTAGTATGACTGAGGCTGCGATTTAGACACAAATTTGACAGGTCAGAGGGTCACTACGCACAACAATATTGGGAAAAGGAGTGGGTGCATGAAGAGGTCCCTCCCTTTTTTTTACATTTTTATATGAGTTGCTTATTGGTTTTGCACACTTCCAGCTGCCTGGGTATTTGGCACAGGTGAGACAGGGAGAGGTAAAGGCTTACGTAATGCTGTGATCATCCTGCCAGGTGTTCCTGGATGGTCTTCATGATGTAACCCCTGGAGTGTGACAGAAAGTCTGGGCTTGGCTACAGAGCGAATTGAGTGCAACCCTGTATAGTTCTGAGGAAATCTTTGCAAGCGAGGCCCCCGTCAGCAAGGGAATGGGCTTGCGGGGCTAGCTAATGGAGCCAGAGGTGGAGATGTGGCCAGAGAAAGGAGGGGAAAAGAAAAAAGAACTAACCAAAACCTTGTGAGACACTTGGAAAAGTACCAGTGCCAAGTGTATAAACTATTATTTTATATACCTTCATCATAACATTTCAATCCTATGTTTAAAAAGAAAAAGAAAGCAACTCAGTCATAAGAAAATTCTCTGCCAAAGAACGAGAATGTCTGCAATTGATATTATATATATTTTTTTCAATTTATTGCCTCTCAGCCACAAATTTTAGGGCTAATGGAGGTATGAAGCCAAACTTGTCCATTTAGGAAAGGTGGGGAAGAATTCATATTAATTCAGGTTTAGCTTCTGAGCACCCAATGAATAGTCAGAATTTTATACAGAGTTTCTTCTAAATATTACCAAAGATATTAATAAAAACTGGAAAGAATACGGCAATAAACAGAATGCTATGTTAAGGGGCGCCTGCGTGGCTCAGTCGTTAGGCGTCTGCCTTCAGCTCAGGTCGTGATCTCAGGGTCCTGGGATCGAGCCCCGCATCAGGCTCCCTGCTCCGTGGGAAGCCTGCTTCTCCCTTCCCCACTCCCCCTGCTTGTGTTCCCTCTCTCGTTGTGTCTCTCTCTCTGTCAAATAAATAAATAAAATCTTAAAATAAAAGAATGTTATGTTAAGGTTTTTGGAATTTCAAATTTTAGGAGTCATCTCTGCCACAAAATGAAAAGCTAAATGGAATCAAAACATTTCTAGTACAGTAAGGAAAGCAACAACTATAGACTAATGACTAACAGTGACTGAATTTAGCCTCCCTGAATAGGGTTTGGACTGAATCATATGTATCAGGTGCAATTTAATTGCTCCTGTACTTAATGAAAATAGGAAAGGGAGTGGTCACCTTCTCATGGAATATAGTTATGTATATAATACAGTCAACTAAAACATGCAAAATCCAGATGACAAGTCAAGATCCCTAAGAAAGTGGGACTGGAGTCAGAAACGCAAAATGGACACTTTGGATCAAGGGACCCCAGCAAGAATGCAAAATGACTCACAGAATGGGAAGCTACTAAAAATAAACAAGTCTTTCAGAGCACCACTGATTTTATCTGGGAAAATAAAACTCAGAGGGTAACATTCCACAACTGATCCTACATAGTTCTGTGCTCATACCAACTGATACTCATCAATGAGGAAGTTTTGTTTTTTGTTTTTTAAACTAAGGGAAAAAAATGGAAAGCTGCCCACGTGAATGCACGCCTGTTCCTGAAAGGCGACTCAGCAGGATCTCCTTCATGGGATAAGAAGATAAGTCATACAACTGTGCGGCTGACCTTCTCGAAACTGCCTAAACAAACAGCAGCACTTCTAATGGTAAATTTTAAATTTACATATTTTCTTAATTTTTTTTTTTAAGACCGAGCTCTTCAAAAGCTGAGCTCACCAGGATCACATTTTGAGTTTTAAAAATAAGGCTGGCTGAAAGCTTCCTTGAAAAAAAAAATCTCAACTTCTCCCCATCCCAGCCTAATGCAGCGAGATGCACTATGAGGAAAAGAATTCATCACCCCCCATGTCAGATCTAATCTTAACAAAAATCAGTGTCCTCTCAAACCAATGGACATAATACCCCAAAGTACATTAAAACAATTTAAAACACATCTGGAGAGAGGGAGACAGAGAGACAGAGAGAGAGAGATGGAGAGAGGTTTCTTTAGTAAGACAATGAGATGAGTTCAAGGATTCTGAATCCACAGATTAATATTAAAAGTCATTGAGATGAGAATACAAGTATCTTGTTCTGTCCTTTTGAATGGCTTTACACATTTAAAAAAAAATCAATCAACTCCCCATAAAACTACCTTACATGAAATATTTTTATTGACAGGAATACACAGTGTGTGTCATGAATGGTGCCCCAGAATTATTTCCCCGCAATTTTGGAGTACAGCTTAATAAAGGCACAAGAATCATTTTCCAAAGACAGGTAAAAGTCAAGAGCACCAGGTCTCTCTCCCTGCTTTCTGTAACAAATGATAAGGTGTCTAAATTTGCCTCCATCTGAAGTGATACATTACTGTTCCTCAAACCCAGAGCCCCTTCAGGGGCTCCTGAATGTCACTGGATTTGTAATCTGCCAATCAAGGGGAACAACTAAGTACTCCCTGGTTTCATTCAAGGGAACAACATTCACAGCATCACCTCTAAGTAAGGAATTACTTTCGTACACATCCACATATAAAGTTGAACACAGACAAAGAGGCAGAGGAAGAAGGTGCAGATGTTGAGATACTCGGCAGAAAAGATGAAGTCCCACTGACTGCCATGGAAGATGTCACATCCCCTTAAGCACTGAAAACACTGCCAGGTGGACCTGCCTTTCAGAATTCAGAGGGCTGATTTGAAAGAAATTGGTGTTGCTATAATAGTTTCAAGCAGCAGTGAAGCAGAACATTTTACCTACTACAGAGAACAGAAAAAGGAAAATCAAAACTTCGGCAAGTCTTTTCTAAACCGGCTCTACTGTGCATTGTCCAGAGACGATGAGGCAGGTCTCCTGCCCCATGACAACTCAGTGTGACCCAACGGTACAAGGAAGGGTCACCGCGATTGGTGAGTCTGGTTGACAATGAGCCCCAGGAAGCACATTCCTTTCTTAGAGCACTAAAGACTACACAATCATCTAAGCATATGAACTGAAGTTATTAATTCTAAAAAGTCTAAAAACACTATCATTATTAATGCAGCATACAAAAATCAAGTTGCTTTTGAATAATTGTTTTTCTGAAGTTCGGATGAGAAAATTCAATGCTGAAAGCCTAGTAATAATTGCTTTCACTCTTTGTGCTTTCTCCTACAAAATGTTTATTTAACAAATAGAATATAGGAAGGAACTTGATGGCTTATAATCAGGAAATCAATAGAGGATTTAAACCTTATGCAGAATGCACTGTCACAGCAATGTAAAATGTGGCTAGATTCTTGGAGGAGCAAACTCTGAAATAAAGGAGTCCGTGTCAGTAGCACTTAAAACAAGTCTGTCTTCTTGAAAGCGTTGTTATATTTCAAATAATTTTAAATGACATTTAATTATTTTAAAGAAAATCCCCAGATGAAAAATTAAGACAAGCTATGATGTGACAAAACCTGAATTAGAATCACTCTAATCATGAAAAATTAAGCTAAACCTTTCAGAATAAATCTCACAGGCAGACCACAAATTCAAAACAGCTCTTTGTTAACTCGGGCTGTTCTAAGATATTACTACAAAAGTTGTCAAGAACGCTCATGCTTTTTCTAAAATAGAGCAAGTTATATAAATGTTTAAGAAGGAAAGAAAAGCTCCTGCTTAAAAAAATGTTTTTCACGGAAGGTCGAGAGTCTCAGAAAGGCACCCCCAGAACAGAGTGAAGCGGAAACTGTCCCACCTACCGTCAAACTTCTTGTGCCTGGACACGAATGTGGTGCGTACAAAATGGCTTGTCTCTTCCACGAGGTTTTCAAACTCGAGTTTGCTTTGCTGGCTTAATTTGTCTTCCATTTCTGTGGTGCAGCATGTATATTCTTGAGGGCAGATTCTTAAGTGTTCCCCTGCAATGAGAAGGTAAACGTCAGGATGGGATGATAGGGACTTCGGGGAATTTGCTTCTCCAACATTCCCCTCAAATCCTGGGGCATCTGGTCCAGCAACCCTTTGGGCCAGCACCGTGATCGTATCTGGGCCTCAGTGGACTTAACATCCCAAGCATTCACGACTTCAGCTGAACCTGATGTGGTCTGAACGTTTGTGTCCCTCCAAATTCATATGCTGAAATCTTGACACGCAAGGTGATGGTATTAGGATCTGGGGCCTTTGGGAGGTGATGAGGTCATGATTGGAAGTAGTGCTCTTATAAAACAGCCCCCAGAGAGCTAGCTTGTCCCTCGGACACATGAGGATGCAGCAAGATGGTGTCTGGGAACCAGGGAGCGGGCCCTCACCACACACGGAATCTACTCGTGCCATGATCTTGGACTTCCCAGCCCCCCAGAAGTAGGAGAAATAAATGTCTTTTGTTTATAAGCCACCCAGTTTATGATATTTCTGTTACAGAAGCCCAAACAGACTAAGACACCTGATATTTAGTCCCTGCCATGGAAGGGAAAGTATATTGAAGACCTCAGAAGACCACGACAATGTCCCTGCTTTTATTTGAAATGTGCCAAGTGGCGCCAGGTGACAAGAGATATAATACAGTTACAAGTGTGCTTGTCTTTGGAAACCTCCAGTAGCCCACAAGATGCTCAGTCCCATCACCGCAGTCTGTGTGACAGCAAGGGCAAGACAAGATGGGGATCATTCCTTGTGTTCTGTCTCTGCCTGTCCGTCTGTCAGAATGCATCAGTTTTGCTCGTGGGGAAAGTGAGTGTGTTTTCAATGGCAGGTCTCATGTGGCACACAATCCCTCAGTTGACAATTCTTGTCAGAGAGGAAATGTTCTCCTGCAAGGAGGAAGGCACTGAGGGGTTTAATTAATGCTTACGTTCTATGGAAATGTAAAGTAAAAGGTAATGAAAGTCATGTATTTAATTCAAAGTCTTTATCTCTGGATACACCAGAACACTTCCTTTGGCAATATTGCTTTCTTCAGCGCTATTTGCAAGGAGGAACCAAACCTCTGCTCCATGACCTTAAAATAGACTGTTAATGCATAAAATGTGAATTTCCCATTGAGGCAGCTCTGTTAATGTCATAATGTTTGGTGGAGCCTGTGGAAGGAAGAAGAAAAATCCACCCAACATCTTGGTAAGTAGGAACAACAAATTGCCCCTGGGATCAAAGTCACTGTAGGACACTGAAATCCAAATGCACAAAGTACTTGATGTGGTGATTAAAATTCATTTATAATGCTTAATGGTACTTATATAAAATTATTTCCTGCGACCTGTGTGAAGTATAGGGTGTTTCATGTTTCTGTCGTTGGATGCTTTAGTGCCTAATTAAAACAACCCCAGAATAAAAAATGACCAGAACTGTGTACCACAGTTAGATCTTATATAATTCCTGGAAGGGAGGGAGACCACAAAATATCATATGTATATTTTTTTTAAAAGGAAATGAAAATGCATTGTACTTGAGAGTGATAAATACCAAATTCAAGATAACAGTTCCCTTCCAGGAGAAATTAGGATTTGAGAGAGTACTCAAATACATTTATCCATAATCTTTTATTTCCTAAGTTGTTTGATGGATGCATGACGGTTATCATACTATTACCTTTGCTTTTTCTGTACATTGAAAATATTTTGTGGATATGTGTCATTAAATAAGCAGTAGCCACTACAGCTGTGCTAGAGAGGAGAATAGGGGGTAGGTATTAAGAAAGAAAAACAGGCTGCCCTTGACATTCAGAAGCCAGCCTGGCAACTCACAGCTAGGTCATGATAGTCTATTACATCTAAACAATCTCACAGAAATGCCAATCCCAGACAAAATTACTCCGAGACCATGATAAAGGAGACAAAGCAAAGCTACTTCAAAATTTTGCCTAAGCACACACAAAAACAAGGCCCTATGTCATCCAAAAAGTACTGAACATCTCCTTTCTGAGGCAAAATGAATGTACTTCCTTACCATTTACAGACTGATCTTCATACTACTCTCCCTCCTTTTTGATCATTTATTGAGATACCTTTTTATAGATTTACCTCTCCTTACTGAAAAGCATCCAATCGAGGCTGAAGCCCTGCCTCTCTGAACCCTCCTCCAAGCCAACCAACAAAACTCCAAGTCCTACAATCAATTCTTTCAAAGTCCCTCTCACTGAGAAACCCCGTGGTTCTCCCTGGTGTATTCCTGCTTGAGGATAAGTGACATCTTATTCAACTACAGGTGTGTTCCTAATAGGTTCTCATTTGAAGGTACTGACGATACCAAAATGGGGACATATAGAACAATATGAACTTTCAGATTTTTCTCCAAGTCATTCTGATACTCCCATCCCAGTAAAAAAGCAGAGTTCTAGAGGTTAAGACACTGGTAAAGAATAAAAGTGGCTTTATCAAAAGCAAATGGCCTACAAATCTCTAATTCACTTTTTATAAAATATAAATCTAACTGATAAGGACAAAACTCTGTATCCACATTGAATAGATATTTAGCATTAACGATTCTGCATAATGTTCCCTTCTCTCACTGGTTATAAACCATTTCCAAAAATCTCCCTATTCTATTTCCCACCCTACTGTGTGCAAATGGAATGTCCATTTCTCAAGATTTACTACTTCGGGGCTGCATTCTACTTCTGAATCATTACAAATGAGTTTTCAGCAAAATGCATTGGACTTTTGGTGACTAGCTGATAAAAGAGAATAAACATTTTATGACCTGAGGGAAATAACTGTATCTGGGATATTTGGGGAAGAAACGCCATGGATCTACATTCATGAAATTAGATTGGACTGGAAGCACTGTAATCTCCAATCACTCCAAGAAAATCAGTATTTTATGTTGAGTGATAAATAAACACAGAAAGATACTTCTTCATGGGACAACTTCATTTTTTTTAAGATTTTATTTATTTATTTATTTGAGAGAGACAGAGAGCGAGTGTGGGAAGGAGCAGGGAAGAGGAAGAGAGAGAGGGAGAAGCAGACTCCCTGCTGAGCAGGGAGCCCGATGTGGGGCTCCATCCCAGGACCCTGGGATCATGACCTGAGCTGAAGGCAGATGCTTAACTGACTGAGCCACTCAGGCGCCCCCACAGGACAACTTTAAACCAAACTTACTGTGTGTGTGTGTGTGTGTGTGAGTGTGTGTGTGTGTGTAGGGTAGTAAGGCACACGTAGGGAGCTGCCATTCTGATTCAATGCATTATTAGATATTTTCTAGAACTGGAAGTGTCCTCAAGAAGTCAACACCTTCATGCAGGCCCAAGCAGAGAGATAACTAGAGACATGGAGAGACAGACATAGACAAGCACAGAGAAAGTGAAGAGTGTTTCAGAATCCTGCTGTTCAATATTCCATGCAAAGTACTCGTTAGAGTGTCTAGAGAGAGATCATGCTGATGTCCCTGAGCATACAGCATCCGGGGTTGTGAAACGTGTGGTTGAATCAAGGCTGAGCCTTGTTTTCTTTCTAACATACGCTAGATAAGAAGGTTGTGGAAGAATGGACACACTGAAGTACAGTTCCTTTCTCCCCCAATCTGAGGTCCCTGATATTTGTCAAAGCAACCTGGTCACTTCAAATGGCCAGAAAGACTTAGGACAACTGCACGATTTGTTCTGACTCTGTTTGTTCATTTATTTTGGTTTTGGCCCTAGTACAGGGGTTTGTAAACCATGGCCTCTGGGCCAAATCTGGCCCACCATCTGTATTTGCACGCCCTGAGAACAAAATGGTTGGGGAAAAATATCAAAAGAATGATATTTTGTACTATATGAAATTCAAATTCAATTGTCCATAACTAACATTTTATCAGAAGGCAGTCCCACCTCTTCATTTATGCATCAGCTATGGCTCTTTTAGTGAGCAAACACTAGAGCAGTCATAAGAAAGACCACCGGGACCTTCCACTTGAATACTTACACTCTGAAATCATACGTGGCAGCTACTCTACCACATAAAGAGTTAGCTCTAGCCCTTCCTGTTCCAATTTGCCCGAATGACAAGAATGTGAAACTTTTCTCAGCTTACGAACATCGTGCTTCCTAACATGAGTATTTGATATAATAATGAGATGCTTCCAAAGTGGTAACTTATGAAGGAGAAGAAAGTGTTGTCCTTTACAAGCTTGCCACACACTCTCTCAAATTCCCTCAGGTTCTCTATGTTATTTATTACATAATTAGATACAACATTTAGCTCAACAGGAGTGCCGCTAGATACCTCCAAGATCGCTAATATTAAACATACTAAAATAGTTCATTCCAGGAGACCAGGATAAGAGACCATAAATGCAAAAACTGTGGGATGAAAATAACGATGACCGCACCTTCACTCATCAAACATTTATTGAAACCCGTGTGCAACTCAGGATGATAGGTTCATGTCCATCAAGATCAGGCACAGTGTCATGCCATCAGCTTACAAAGGTGCATGCTTTTTTGGGGCACGTGCTGGTCATGCAGGTGAATTCCCAGGTTCCTGCTTTTTTGTAGAACTCTCCACCAGCTGTACTGTCAACAAGGGAAATGACAGAAGTGGGAGAAGGGAGTTCCACCAGGAAGTGAGAGACTGAGCTCACTCAGGGACATACAGTCAGGCTATAAAACTGTCATCTGTTTTCGAAGAAAGAAGCCATGGGCTCTTCCTCCCTTTACATGCCTCTTTGAACTCCATGTCACTCTTTACAATATCTTTCCCCAAATGCCTGCCCAGATGTTTGTTTTCACTCCAAGACACAGAGGTGACAGGAGAAATGTGATTCTGCCAAATCGCGCTCCCTCCAGGGATGGCCCTGGGTCTGAAAACCGCCAGGAATCGACTTGGTGAGCAGGAGACAGGAGGACCTCGTTAACCACAGAAGCCAGCCTCTGTGGGTCTGCTGCAGCAGACTCCCTGCCCTCGGAGGTGACACGGGGGGACCTCAGAATGCACATCCCAAA